GCTATCTTAGCTAACCACTTTGAAGTTGTCTACAGCCATACCACTCTGAACATGCCCGATCTCTTCTGATCTCGCATGCTAAGCAGGGTCATGCCTGGTTAGTACTTGGAGGGGAGACCACCTGTGAATACTGGGTGCTGTAGGGGGACGGACAGGAAAAGCCCACACGGTAGGAGTGAGGGTGTAGGGGCCACGTGAATGATAGTGATGGCTGTGAGGGGTGACTCAGGCAGCTGCAGAGTTGGCTGCTTCAGAAGACATCTTGTGATCTTGTGCTCCATGTTGGGCACCAGATGAAGAGTTTATCTAAATTGTTCTATTACTAATAAAAACTTGGAAGCTAGATATTGGGGTAAAAATCTGATAGATCAAGAAAACATTGGAGGAAATGACTAGCTAACCCTCTCTCTCCATGCTTCCCTGATCCAAAGGGCCTGAGACTCTTTCTAAGCCCCTCCCTACTCTTTCCTGGGTCCTCCATAATCTCTATTCCAGTCAGTTAGTTGTTAACTCTGCCCCCAGATTCAAAGTTAACTTTACTAGCAGGCTTGGAATATCACAGTGTGATCAAATATCCCACATCACCTCTATTTTTCATCAGAAATCACAGGAGACAGAAATGTGATACTTTTTTTTTAAGTTCTGGAAAAGTAGAACTATCTTTCTACAGTTCTGTATCCAGTCAAAATATCTCTCAGCAAAAAAAAAGCCATTTTGAGGTTAAGAAAAACTAAGATTGCATTAGTAAGAAAAACTATGACAGCATTCGGCCAGTGGATCTGATCTAAAAAGATTACTAAAAGAAGCTAAGAAATAAAGCAGATGGTGCCAGAAAGAAAGCTGGAATACAGAAAAGAAAATCAGATTAAGAAAATCTGGTCTGGAGCTGGTAAATATTAGCCTGCTTTTTGCCTCCTTGTGGTCTCTAAATTGCAGTTGATAGTCACATAGAAAAGCATAATGTGCTATAATGCACTTACAACGGGCACTGTCACATTACTGGTACAATTTCTAATGTAACTAAGGGCAAAGGGGGAGAGTTGATGACAGGGTTTCCTGTGAAAGTGATACCAAATTCGTTCAAAGTGCAGATAAGTCTGCCTTCTATTGTCCCCTTGAGCACCCACTAAAAAGCAACAGTTTTATTAATCTATAGTATAATATATTGAAATCCACAATCCGTAGATTAAAATAGAATGCCGCCGATAATGAACAATGTTCACTGTCAACTTGATTTAAAAGCATCTAGCAGTACACCTCTGAGTAAGTCTGTTTCCGGAGAGGTATTACTGAGAGTGGAGCTATGCCCTGAATTTGGTCAGGTCTAGCCTTATGGCAGGGGTCCTGGATTGAACAAAGAGTAAAGCAGAATAAAGGAGCCAATAATGCCATTCATCTCTCTTCATCTCCCCCTGTTTCTGGACTTCGGATACAATGTGATTATCTACCTCATTTCCCACTTGCCTCTATACCTTCCCCACTATGATGGGCTGTGCTCTCAAGTCATGAGCCAAAATAGACTCTTAAGTTATTTTAGTCATTTATTTTGTCACGGCAGTGAAAGGAAGTAACTAAAACACTAATAAATGTTTATATAACCAAAAATGAAGGAATAAAAAGGAATCAAATGAATGAAGAAAGAGAAGAAAGAGACAATGTGAATTATAAAATTGTAGGCTTAAATCTAAAAATACTAATAACTACATTAATAGTCTAAACATACCAAATAAAAGACAACAAATGACTTAAAAAATGCAAAATACTAACTCACATCTACACTTTCTATACAAGACTCATCTGAAGTACAATGATTTAAATTTGTTAAAAATCAAGAGGATTGGGAATGATATACCATGGAACCAGGAACTGAAAGAAAGTGGGTGGTGTGGCTACATTAATTTATGCAAAGTCACATTCAGAGCAGAGAGTATCATCAAAGATAAAGTAGGATGCTGCATAATGGTGCAGGGGCCAATTACTCAAGGATATGTGGTCAGCCTAAGGGCATATGCAGCTGCTAATAAAGAACAAAAGTTCATGAAACAGAAACTGGAAAAGCTGGGATAAACAAAAGACAAGTCCATACTTAGGCTGGACCTCCCCTCTCAGAAGAAAAAGTTACTAGAGTGGAAAACCAGTAAGACTTAGAAGACTTGACCTACACTGTGGAACTAATTGAAATGTGCAGAATACTCCAGTCAACAGATGCCAGTATCTTCTGCAAGTGCTTTCGTCAAGACTGTGTTAAGATAGACCATATCTGTGGTCACAAACACACTTAAAATTGAAATGGATGAAGTGTACAATCTGTCAATAACATAATTATACTAGAAATCATGAAACAGAATGATAAGAGGAAACTTAATGAAGGAAATACTTGAAAATCAGTCTACCTGCAAAAAATAACACATGGCCAAGAAATCCTAAGGCCAATTTAAAAAATAAAGGCTTTATACTGAACATAAAAAGTAAGGAATGGTGCTTACAGTGTCTGAAAAGAAATAGCTAGCATTAAAGCTTATATTAGGAAACAACTTCTTTGAATAAACAATCTGCTTCTGTCTTTGGAAGTCAGGGAAAGACAAAGGAAAAAAAAACACGAAGCAGAAATCAATGAGCATGAAAACAGAAGAACAGTGGGAAAAGTAATGAAGCCAAAAGCTTATCCTTTGAAAATATCAATAGAATTGACAAGTTTCAAGGAACACGGGGAAAATGAAGGGAGGGCATAAATTACAAGTGTCAGGAAAGAGTAACATATCTAAAGTATCTTTCATACTATTTTAGTCCTGCAGTTATGATTAATAACCATAAAATGGAGAAATGTCAAGCTACAAAATGAATTTAAATCAAGGGATACACATATCAATTCTTCCTCATTCTTCAAAATTTTCTGTCCATTCAATCAATAAATAATCATTTAATCCCTTTCTCTGGATTTTTCAAGCAATTTGTAATCCCAGTTCTTTCAACGTTTCTCCTTACCATTTGCATATTTATATATATATATGCCAGCTGAGATATCACTACTGGATTATAAACTATCTCTTTTGTTCACTACATAACCCAGTCCTGTAACAGTTTGGAGTATGATAAAAGGCCATCCATCCACTTAGTAGACATACACAGACTTAAATAAATAATTCTTCACTTGTAAGATCCAAAGAGAAAGAGCTGTGGAGACCAGCAAAGCCAGATTCCTCCCTGGCAGTATAATATCTATTAAATGGTCAAATTCATTTACTCTCCAACACTCCATTTCATCTTACTTCATAGGAGATCATGATATGAACTTCAAAAATCTTGTAAAGTCTAAACAATGGCAGTGCCCGACTCTAGAGCTGTGTTGGAGTGGATGCACAGCTGTTAGGTGCTGTCACCCATGACATATTTTTATTGAAAAGTATAGACTTATGCCTAACAAAGGTGGTTCCCCAACTGTGTTCAACCAAAATCTGTGAAGATGAGTCACTGAGCTGTTAGTAGGAAACCATAAAGTTTATGTTCATGTTTGTCTTCTCACTATAAAATGTATATATCTGTGTTATAATGAACATATATAATACTACAATATATGTATATCAGTCAGACATGAAAACACCTAGAAGATAGTTGTATATAAAAGTGTTTCATGTATATGAAGAATGAACATAAAAGTTTGGAGAAAATGATTCACCAACGGACTCTGGGTAAGATATACCAAGATGTATCATAGCAGTGAAATTAGATGACCTTGAATGAAAAAATAAAAATCTTGAAATATTTTTTCTTTTCTTTTTTTTTTTTTTGGTTTTTCGAGACAGGGTTTCTCTGTAGTTTTGCGCCTTTCCTGGAACTCACTTTGTAGACCAGGCTGGCCTTGAACTCACAGAGATCCTCCTGCCTCTGCCTCCCGAGTGCTGGGATTAAAGGCGTGCGCCACCACCGCCCGGCAAAAAATCTTGAAATATTTAAAGCAGTGGTTCTCAACAAGTGAGATTTTGCCCCTACAGTGGATATTTGAAAATGCCTTTTGAAAAATATTTAAGAAAAGTGGTGTCACTGACATCCAGTGGGTTGAAGTCAGACATGCTGCTAAACATTCTCTAACACACAGGTCAGTGTTCACCATAAAGAATGATTTGGTTCAAAATGTCAATAGTGGCAAGACAGAGAAACCCTGATCTGTATTAGTACACGTTCAGGGTTCTAAGTAGCTCTGTCGTATAGATGCATCCAGAAAAATTCTTTGAGCTTTTTTTGTAGATAGTTCAACATACTTACAAAGAATATCTAACAATTATTTACAGTGAACTAAAATGTCACTCTCATGAGACATTGAAGTGCTTGATTTTTTTAAAAATTTATTTATTTATTTATTTATTTATTCTGATTTTCCAAGATGGGTGTTTCTATGTAACAGCCCTGGCTGTCCTAAAACTCTCTTTGTAGATCAGGCTGGCCTCGAACTCACAGAGATCCACCTGCCACTGCCACCCGAGTGCTGGGATTAAGGCGAGCACCACCACGCTTTGTTGTAGAATGTTATTTTAAGTTGTGCTACATTTGTTTATGCTCTGGAACATTTGTATGATGATGCAAAGATGTGCTGCGTTCTTTTATGCTGCATTTGTTTAACTCTGTGGAGCTATATTACTGTGCCCATCTAAGACACTTAATGGTCTAATAAAGAGCTGAATGGCCAATAGAGAGGCAGGAGAAATGATAAGCAGTATTGATAGACAGAGAGAATAAACAAAAGGAGAAATCTTGGAGGAGAAGAAGAAAGAGCAAGAGAACAAGGAGAGGAGGACTTTAGGGGCAAGCCACCTAGTCAGCCACTGAGTAAGAGTGAAAGTAGAATTACAGAATTAAGAAAAGGAAAAAGCCCAGAGGCAAAAGGTAGATGAGATAATTTAAACAAAGAAAAGCTGGCAAGCTTTTCCCCTGCCACTACCGAATTGCGCGGAGGTGGAGGCTCGGGTGCATTCAAGATTCGGCCTCACCCATAATCCACCGCCATGGCCAAGGAAGGCATTGCTATTGGATGTGTAATGGACATCAATGGACAACATGCTCTACAAGAGATGTTGAAGACTGCCCTCATCCATGATGGTCTGGCATGTGGCATCCGTGAAGCTACCAAAGCCTTAGACAAGCACCAAGGACATCTCTGTGTGCTCTCATCCAATTGTGATGAGCCTATGTATGTCAAGTTGGTGGAGGCACTTTGTGCTGAGCATCAAATCAACCTAATTAAGGTTGATGACAACAAGAAACTAGGGGAATGGGTAGGCCTCTGTAAAACTGATCAAGAGGGAAAACCACGGAAAGTGGTTGGTTGCAGTTGTGTAGTGGTTAAGGACTATGGCAAAGAATATCAGGCCAAGGATGTCATTGAAGAGTACTTCAAGTGCAAGAAATGAATAAATACAAATTTTGGCTCATAACAAAAAAAGAAAAGCTGGCAAGAAACAAGCCAAGCTGAAGCCAGACATTTATAATTAAGAATAAGCCTGCATGTGAGATTTATTTGGGAGCTGGGTGGTAGGCCCCCCAAAAGAGCCAAAAGAGTATGAAGAGTAAAAAAACAACCAACAAAAACACCTGGCTAAAATTTTTGATTATTATATGATTCATTACAACATAAGACCCATATGTCCTATGTTGGTGTAAATCTACTTATGAGAAATATCCATCAACAGTTGTTTATATTTGACCAAAATGTCACTCTTGGGAGTTGCTAAAATGTGTGGCTACCATATGGTCTATTAACAAATCATCCTATGTTAGCATAAGGGGACAAGTGGACAGAACTTTTACATTTGTCAGGTAGATAAAAAGGAGTACATGGACCCATTTCATTAGCCCACAAGTCATAATACCTTAAAATTTTCAAAAGAGAACAAATGCTGAGCTATCCACTGCCCACCAAGGACACTGAGTCTCCTGGGGTGCATTATTGTGGGAGAAATGCTTAATGAAAATATCATGATTCCCTTTTTTAGTAAAAGAACAAATCTAAAGCAGAAGGGCACAGTTTTGACACTGGATTTTATAAGCAGCAAATGAAAAACCTCATGTTTTGAAAACCATCTTCCAAGGGCAAAAGAACAGCATAGCTATGGTGAAGTTCATGTGGGCCTACATGTGATTATTTAAATCTCTCCACTATATCATTCTGCGTTGTTACTTTTGCTTTTCAAGGAAGAGTTTCCCTGTGTAGCTTTGACTATCCTGGAACTTTCTTTGTAGACCAGGCTGGCCTTGAACTCAGAGATTCCCTTGCCGCTGCCTCTGCCTCTGTTGTGCTGTGATTAAAGGCACATGCCACCACATCCAGCCCTCTCTATTACATCTTTTATTTCAATTGAATGTTATGCCGGTGGATTATAAATAATACTAAGATAGCTTATATCTCTGTCATTCTACTCCAGTTCAAAATCTGAACACTTCTTATCATTTTCTATATGGGTGAGTACCTCAGTTAGTAACTGAGATCTTTGGAGAAATGGCTCATTCTCTATATCCACAGTTCACTGGAAACCCCATGCAGCAATAGTTGAAATATCAGCTTCACATGCTTTATGGAAAGGGAGCCCATAGACAACATGGAATAAAAGTAAGGACATGGGAAACAGAAGTGTAAGGATGTTGATAATTAAATTTCATGATGAAAATGAGTAAAAATGGCTTTAGTAAGTTTATTAAGAGAAAATAATGTTTCATGAAATGTCTCAGTGCTATTTGGGAATGAAGATGTCAATATTCAAATCAAGACATTGACAAGCTTTCCAAACTATGTTCATACATTTGTAAAATTCATTAATTAAGCAAAAAGAATTTATCTTGATTTTTTTCTTATGGCCTAAATATTTAAGAGAAGAAAAGGAGGCTCCCAAATCTATGTATTTCTGGATGGAGGAAAAAAATAGTTCTCAAGGGAAAGTAATCCTGGAATGATTTTTCCAAAGCCAGTAAAATCTGTTCTGCTTTTCAGATTATGCCATTAGGCAGTCCAACCCCCAGTTGTCTCAAATAATAAGTGGTTTGATTTAAAGACCTAGAAAACCATGCAAGTTACTTTTTTCCTGCACAGCATCATTTACTTCAAATAATGTTTTCAGGCTGTATCTCGACCATTGCCAGCAGTCTGTTGTGGGGGTATCTTTGTGGATTTCTGTGGGCCTCTCTAGCACTTTGCTTCTTCCTATTCTCATGTGGTCTTCATTTACCAAGGTCTCCTAGTCCTTGCTCTCCCTCTCTGTTGTTGATCCAGCTGGGGTCTCCCGCTCCCCCAAGCTCTCTTTCCCTTGGTCCTCGCCCTTCACTACCCCCACTCATGTCCAGGCTGTTCATGTAGATCTCTTCCATTTCTCTGTCATTGGGCGATCCCCGTGTCTTTCTTGGGGTCCTGTTTTCCAGGTAGCCTCCCTGGTGATGTGAGTAGCAGTCCAGTCAGCCTTGTTCCACATCTAGTATCCTCCTATGAGTGAGTACATACCATGTTTGTCTTTCTGAGTCTGGGTTACCTCACTCAGGATGATTTTTTCTAGATCCATCCATTTGTCTGCAAACCTCATGATGTCATTGTTTTTCTCTGCTGAGTAGTATTCCATTGTGTATATGTACCACATTTTGTTTATCCATTCTTCAGTTGAAGGGCATCTAGGTTGTTTCCATGTTCTGGCTATTACTAACAATGCTGATATGAACATAGCTGAACAAGTGCTCTTGTGGTGTGGTTGAGCATTCCTTGGGTATATGCCCAAGAGTGGTATAGCTGGATCTTGGGGGAGATGGATTCCCAATTTTCTAAGAAAGCGCCATATTGATTTCCAAAGTGGTTGTACAAGCTTGCATTCCCACCAGCAGTGGAGGAGAGATCCCCTAGCTCCACATCCTCTCCAGCATAAGGTGTCTTCAGTGTTTTTGATCTTAGCCATTCTGACAGGTGTAAGGTGGTATCTCAGAGTTGTTTTGATTTGCATTTCCCTGATGATTAGGGATGTTGAGCAATTCCTTAAATGTCTTTCAGCCATTTGAGTTTCCTCTGTTGAGAATTCTCTGTTTAGTTCTATAGCCCATTTCTTAATTGGACTGTTGGGCATTTTGATGTCTAATTTCTTGAGTTCCTTATACATTCTGGATATCAGTCCTCTGTCAGATGTGGGGTTGGTGAAGCTCTATTCCCATTCTGTAGGCTGTCACTTTGCCTTGTTGACCGTATCCTTTGCTCTACAAAAGCTTCTCAGTTTCAAGAGGTCCCATTAATTGATTGTTTCTCTCAGTGTCTGTGCTACTGGTGTTCTATTTAGGAAGTGATCTCCTATGCCAATGCATTCAAGACTACTTCCTACTTTCTCTTCTAGCAGGTTCAGAGTAGCTGGATTTATGTTGAGGTCCTTGATCCACTTGGACTTAAGTTTTGTGCACGGTGATAGATATGGATCTATTTGCAGCCTTCTACATGTTGATATCCAGTTATGCCAGCACCATTTGTTGAAGATGCTTTCTTTTTTCCTTGGCCAAACACCCTAATTGTCATGCTAGAAACCCCATCCAACTACTAAGGGATCTGGATGCAGAGATCCATGTCTAGGCCCTGGGTGGATCTCTGGGAGTCCAATTAGTGAGAATGAGGAGGGTTTATATGAGCGAGAATTGTTGAGACCAAGGTTGGATAAAACACAGGGACAAATAGCCAAATGAATGGAAACACATGAACTATGAACCAATGGCTGAGGGGTCACCAACTGGATCAGGCCCTCTGAATGGGTGAGACAGTTGATTGGCTTGATCTGTTTGGGAGGCATCCAGGCAGTGGGACTGGGTCCTGTGCTCATTGCATGAGTTGGCTGTTTGAAACCTGGGGCCTATGCAGGATCGCTTGGCTCGGCCTGGGAGGAGGGGACTGGACCTACCTGGACTGAGTCTACCAGGTTGATCTCAGTCCGCGGGGGAGGCTTTGCCCTGGAGGAGGTGGGAATGGGGGGTGTGCTGGGGGAAGGTAAGGGGGGCGGGAGGGGGGAGAACAAGGGAATCCGTGGCTGATATGTAGAACTGAATTGTATTGCAAAATAAAAATTAAAAAAAATAAAAATAAAAATAATGTTTTCAAGCCAGTTTTCACGTATAAGGAAAAAAACACTTGATAAAATGTATCCATTTCTTAAACTGCACACAGCTTCTTAAGTGTTTTTGCATTCATAAACAGTGGTCTTCATTATGTCTATTCAGCAAAATATAAATCAGAGATTTTTACAGCACTTAAGTTAGTTTAAAGTATACGCGCCCGATAGCTGATATGCATGAACCTGTACTGGGAGTGTCTTCTACAAATGCATTTTCCCAGGACTTAATCTAGACATTCAGATACAGTAGGTGAAATGCGGATTTAGCAAATCTGTTTCCACCACCTCTTCTCACAGGAAAATCCTAGAACAAATTGTCCTTGGAACATGCCAGTCTAAACAAACTATACCAAAAATCATTTCATTTTGGAGTCCGATTAATCTACTTAGTTATCAAATATGATACCTAATTAAACAGTCATTTCATAAGCCATAACTTCTTTACAATTAAGTAGACTGACCCTGAGGAGTTATCTGAAATTACCATGGCAACTATATTGAAGAGTATTGAAAGTGAAATACGAAAATTCATTTCTGTTTGGTTAAAATAATTGAATAGAGTAAGGGGAGCAGCAAGTTCTCAGAAGTTCTAAAAAAAAAAGCCAAATTTATAAAGCATTGCCTTTACTAAACTGAGGGTCATAAAATGGTGATGTCATTAGAATCTCCCCCACTGGTTCCCACAGGATTAAATGAGTCCAGAATAGGAGCTGGTGCTCAGCCCTTATTAACTACCACACGGTCTTTCTCACCGAATGCTTCGAGCATATCCACTGATACATGATGGGGTGTTACAGTTTGAATCTGAGACGTCTGCTGCAGGCTTATGCTTTGAATGATCGGTCCCTGGCTTGTGGCACTAATTTGAAGGTTGTAGAGTCTTTAGGAGATAGAGCTGGGCTGGCAGGAGTGGGTTACCCGAGGTGAGCCTTGAAGGATAGGCCCGTTTCTGTTTCTGACCCGTTTTGTTTTCCTGCCTGCCATGGTGTAAGGAGTAGGTGCGTCATGCTCTTGTAGCCACTGACAGAGTCTCTCCCAGCACCATGTCTTCTCTGCCTTGATAGATTAAACTCTGTCTGCCAAAATTAATTTTTCATTGTTTGAGATGTTACACAATCTGGTCATGGCGACAAGGAAGCAACACATCTACTGGGTAAGTCAAGAATTGGTACTAGAATAATGAATCCTCAAGGGCTACTTCTCTTCTTAGTGCCTTGATGCCACAACGCTGTTATTTCTACTGGATTCTCTGTGCCATTTTAATTTCCTTTGAGGCAGCTTCGGGTCTTAGGAGCTTTCTTCTGTCACTACCAAGTTATTTCCTGGGGTAGATATCACTGTTGCTGTGGTACTCTC